CTCTTTTTCATCAGTCATATTTACACAACATTTCAAAAATACAATTACAAAGGTCAAAGACCAGAGGGTCACTGCATGAAGCAAAAACAGGCCTTTCTAATTGAAAGCGTGTGCTCACCCAAAACAAAGCCTGAAAAATATAGTATGCAAAATATGCTTCATAACCACAATTTACAGGTACCAGGTGCTACTTAACAAAAAGTTTCAGTGGTACAACACCACTCTGTCTTACCACACTTAAGATTGTAAAACAAATTAATAATAGCCAATGCACATCATATCATAATCTTACATCATGCTACATTGATAAAACTATTCACACAAACATGCCTTAGTTTATAAAATCCTATGTGGGTCTGCTGTGACAGATGATGTAACCAGTGCAGATGCATCACAGAACCATGAGGCAAGACTACGCAATGTGGCCACTTGTGTCATATCTTAGGGAATTTATCCTAACTATATGTTTGACCAGGAAAAAATTAGTAAGAAGAGAGGTGACTGGTACAGTAGTGCTCCCTTTGATAATATAAAGTTGTACACAGCTAAGCATCAGTAACGGCAGGGTAACCAGTAACAGAGGAACAATCAGTGTCAGCTCACTGGGAAAGGGGCAGTGTGCAGTCTGGAGGTGCGGCCTTATCAACACAAAGGCCTGTATTTCAATCCTGGTGTGACTCTGCACTTGCTGTATGACCCTGGGAAGCTGCTTAACATGTTTTGGGTTCATTTTCTCTTTTAACAAAAGGAAATAATAATCCTTATGTCAGAGGCCTGGGAAGATTAAAAGTCCAGAGAATTTACGTGACATTGGTCACATGAACCCTGAAGTAAAAACTCCCTGTTCTGTCTTAAAAACATTAAAACTGAGAATACTCTGTAGAAACAATGAAAAATGCTTAGTGTTCATTTGGAAAACAGTACATATAAATCTGTATAAACAGAGTAACTATAATTTAGTAATGGACTGCAACTAATAATTAAAATTAAGGTTGAATATGGAAAATCCAAAGCTACATGAGCAAATGAATAAAAAGACTAGCAGGATATGTATAAAAATAATAATAATAATGTTGAAATGGTAAAACAACAGTGGCACTATGAAAATTTTCCTCAGTCTTGTTATTGTATTTTATAATTTAAAAAAAAAACGTAAAAGAGATATGTATGTTTCTCTATTCAGTAGTATCATGACGACCGTGTGTGGGGCTAGGTGGGTGCCTAGAACATCGGCAGGGGGTGGGGGAGGACCACTCTGTAAAGTGCACGGTTTTCTGGCCACTATGCTGTACATCTGGAGCTGATGTGGAATAGTGGAATGCAGATTGTAATTAAGAAAAATAAATTAATTAAAAATCCTACTATTATGAAAAATAAACATCACTAATCATTCAAAACTAGGAACTGAGAGACTGGCAGCTACACCTCCACCCTTAGGACACACAGCCTGGACAGGGCCTCCGTTATCCAGCCCTAATTCTTAACTGGAGAGCAGGACTTAAGGACAGATCTGGGCAAGGATCTCTGATCCCAAAGTGTTTCCGTGGGCTCTCAAAATGTAATCACACTTGACACAGTCACCCAGAGTGCATATTTAGCTAGACAAGAGTGCAGGAGAAGGAAACAGCTTGGCAGCCTCACGCCCTTCAAAGGGTGACAGTTGTGGACACCATGACATACACACAAGGGGATGGGGAGCTGATGCACATACACAACTTCCACCTCAGCTTCGCACACGCTCCCTTCCCAGGTTCCTCGTGCCGTAGAGCAGCCAGGCCTAAAGTCTCCCTTGGGTGTGATGCCCAAGTCTGTCCTTTCTAAACAGGAACCTGTACTGTGAACCAGTCCTCACTCCCAATTTTGTCCTGGCAGAATTTACTACTATAAATGCCAGCCTTCTGGCGGCTTTCATTTGTAAAAGTAGTATACTGAACAAATTTACACCAAGTATGAGAGAGCCAGTAGCAAGATCTCTTCTCTACTCACCAAGCACCTCCAGAAAGCAACTGAACTATAAATCAAGATTTTGAGAGAAAGTTGTTAGCCCCTACATTAACGAGAACCACATCAGAAGAGGAAGAATATAACCTTCCTAGGATCCCTTAAAAGACGTTTTACTTGTATTTTTACCTACCTATCTGCTACTTTTTTCAACATTTAGAAATAGGCTGAATTCTACTTTTCAAAGAAATATTTTATAATATAAGGTTATATGGGAAAAAGAATGTAATATAATAATGAATACTTAATGAATAATGATAAATGATTGCATGGTATATAAATTGTATGATAAAGACTATAATGCTACAAAGATGAGTGACTCCCAGTTCCTCAGGCCTCAAAACAGGTGCTTTCCTGGAAGTAATGGCAATGCTCAGCTATTTACTATGGAAGTATTTATTATTGTGTTTACACATGGATATATATATTTACCAGGCTCACTAAGAAAGAGGTCATAAGAACTGCCCTTCTTTAATTCTAAAACAGTGATTTCCTTCCATGAGAAGCAGTCCTATGTTCCAAAGTAGTGTAGCAAGTATCCACTTATCTGGTCATTAGGTGCTAAGTGTGATGCTGAATGAAATGACACTATTCAAGGGCCTGCTTACAGCATGGGTATGCTGGACGAAGGAATAAAACAGAGAAGGGCAGAACCGGACAGAGCAAGATTTCATCACACCTCTCAGAACAGTCAGTGTGCAACTTCAAACTTAGGAAGTGTTTGTTTCTGGATTTTTCCATTTACTATTTTCAGACCGAAGTTGACTGACTGCAGGTGCTGAAACTGCAGAAACAGAAACCATGGGTGGGGGTCGGGGGTAGCTACTGTATACAACATTCTGAAAAGACAAAACTAGGGAGACAGTAAAAAGATCAGTGGTTAAAGGTAAGGAAGGATGAATAGCCTGAAAACACAGAGAGTTTTCAGGGCAGTGAAGTTAATTATTTGTAGCTTTATAATAGTGGATATACGTCATTATACATTTGTCCCAATCCACTGAATGTGTAACACCCACCATGAGTAAACCCTAATGTAAACCATGGACTTTAGGTTGACATGTCAATGTAGGTGTACTGATTGGAAGAAATGCACCACCTTGGTGCAGGATGCTGATAGTGAAGAAAATGTGCTTGTGGGGGGCAGGGAGTGTATTGGAACTCTCTCTACTTCCTGTTCCGTTATGCTGTGACCCCCAAACTGCTCTAGAACTGAACTCTATTTTTAAAAAGTTTAAGAGAAAACATTTAAATATTTACTACATATTTTTAAAATAGCATATAATTTTATAGACCCTTTAGCTACTAAGTTTATATCTTCCATAATATAAAAGCTGAAAATAAATGTGAATGGTGTTACATGTCCCCAATTGCACTGAATTTATCCTACTCTTTTACAAATACTGGCCATATAGGACATTTCTTTGTTTTAGGGTTCTCTGTGAAATCCAAAATTTCTCTAGATAGCATTTTAGGATCATCAGACCTAAAGAATTAAGAATTTAATTCACTTAAATTAAATCTCATATGGCAATCTAGAACAGAAGTTGGCGAACTACAGCCTGCAAGTCAAATGCAGCTGATGTGTGTTTCTGTAAATAAAGCTTTACTGGAACACAGCCATGCCCAACTGTTCATACACTGTCCCTACTGCTTTCATGCCACAACAGCAGCGCTGAGTAGATATGACAGAAAGTATAAGGTCCACAAAGCCTAAACTATTTACTACCTGGCTCTTTTACAGAAAAAGTTTCCTGTCTCCTGACCCAGAATAAATGACTAGTATTTGGGACTATTTTTTGATCTAAAAAAAGAATATTGGCTTTTTACATTTCTTTACTTGGACATGATGAGCAGTGCAACCCACAAAGCAATTTTATAATGAGGATCAAAGAATAACACTGATATAAAAATAAATGAAAATAAAGTGATATGAAACAATGGTTACTGAAGACTCGGCACCCACAAGGCTTGGATGTGTAAGTGCACTCATCAAATGACAGGGACGTGCTACTTTATTTCACATAGTACCTAATTTTCTTTATCTGTCCAATGAGGATAATAGTATCTGCCTCATTGGCTGCTGAGATACTCAATGCAAGATAATTTTAGCAGTTTTAGGCATTTACTAATCATGAGGTAAGGTAAACCACTAATATTACACAAGTCAGTCATGTTTTTTTTTTCCTTAAAAGTTATTCTTAAAATTAAGGACATTCTCTTGAGATTAGCTAACAAACTGATTTTAAAGCTTTCTTAAGAGGGGACAAAGTGCATCAAGAATGCTCAGCAGGTAGTGTTCCATGCTCTCAAGTCTGATTCATCTCTGATTGCTTTATTGGGGTTCCACATAATATTTACTCTGGAAATGAAAGGATTCCACTATTCTTACAACAAATTTAAAAATTAAAGAACCAGAAAATATTTCATTTCACATGTCATATTTTTTAGCCTAACAACATGGAAAAAAATAAGTGATTCAAAGAACCATATACAATTGGGCAGTGATTAAGTTTTATTCTAAGCAACAGTTAGCATTCCACTTTCTTTAAAAATCTGGACTGGAGCAGTTGAGACAATGGAATTTAAAAGTGAAACTGCTTAGTTTCGAAACACCATAAAACAATACAAAACTTTATTATATCTATTTCAAATGACACTACTTCAGGAAATCAGAATAATATAACATTTAAAACTTTTACATTATATAAAAAAATTTCCATTAAAAGTTTTGAAGTATAAGAACAGGTTGGTGCTTTTTAAAATTTTTTTTAAAAAGTTAAAGAATAAAATTCTTCTCTGTCATCTACTGAATAAAAATAAACAAAATAGAATGAACTCTTAATATCAGTATGTTTATATTATCTATAAATATTTTATTACCCATTGGGCTAAAAAATTATGAAATAAAATCTCTCGGAATTCCAGAAACATTTTCTTAACAACATAATAATTACTAATTTTAACCATTAAGTATTGTCTAAAAACAGTATAAAATATACCTGGTGTCCAGCCTTTACTTGCTTCAAAACACTTTCATAGCATACTTCGTCCATGTTATTCAATTGTTGCACCTTCAAGTGTTTAAAACGTTAAAAAAAATCAAATGAGGCAAGTATAAACTTTCTACTTACAAAAAACTGTCAATTGCAATGCATCTTTATTTACTTTCAGACTAGCCAGAACTCAGAAATAGCAAATGCAACATAAATATCACAATGAAATTTAAAAATAGAAATAAAAACACATCATAGAATACTTTCAGAGTACTAAGTTTCTGAGAGTGCCAAGTTTTTTAAAGACAATAATTTAAAGGATAATAAACTAGTCATACATATTTTAGAATAACTGTAAAGTTCTTTTCTCTGCTTTCCCCACACAAACCCATTCTTCAGCCATTCTTCTATTTCATTCTATAAAGCACAGAGTTTTCCTGTATAATTCTCAAAATCACTAGAACACTACCAGTAGAATATTATGGCACACAAAAGTGACATGCAAAGACATGTGCTATTTCTGTAATGCATATGTAGAACATATTTCTGATTAATTGGAAATTTAATATCAAATTCATTAAAGTAAAGTAATAATTTCCTTATTAATGATGAAAAAGTTTTCAGTCAAAAAGGAGGTGGTTAACCCTCCTTTTTGGAGGGTTAGGAATAGGCATGGAATAGGCATGGGACACAGACTGCATCTCTTTACTCAACATTTATTAAGAGTCTGGAGGGGGTGAAAATGTTGAATACATCTAAAATGACTATGGTTCAGATTTTTTGTTTTAATAATTTAAATACTTTAGCATTCTGAAATTCATGTTTTATATTGACCGAGATAGATAAGATAATCACTAGGTAATTTACTCCCCATCAATGATTCAAGAAACAACTCTTCCAAATAAAACTGCTAATAATTTTTCAGTGTATTTTAGGTTGAATTCTAGCCAAAGTAATTACCTATACTGAATCAGATACATCACACACACCATTTTCCAATGTTCTTCCATAACAACTGAATCACATCATGAGTTTCTAAACTTTCCACTTATAATTGATATAGTATGATAAAACATTGTAAGTTAAACAGAGCACTTCCCTTAATAGTTGCTATCATGAAATTTTTTTTACTTGCATACAAGGTTATTTGTTTTAGATAATATTTAACACTGGCTTTCAATCATATCAAAATAACTTTTTGAAATGTATATTCTTATATATCTTATATTCATAGCTGAGAATACAAAAATATACATTGATAATAGCAATGCAAACTACTATAAGCAACTTTTTGGAAGAGGAATTACATTCCTACCTATAGTTAAGAAACTGCTTGGCTCTGTCTAGGATTTTATATTTGTAATACTACTGAAATGGTCCTTTGAAGTCTCTGATCCCAAATAAGTATTAAACAATACATCAACAGAAGTATTTTAGAAAAAGTATAATTATTAAATTAATATTTACCTTATTTGCACTTTTAACCCCCAGAAATGTCTGTCCAAGAGGAACTGGTCGAAAACGGCCATCGAAATAGAAAAGTCCAATGAAGGGATTAACGTGCAAAAACGTAGCAACGTCGAGGTAGTTGGGTAAGGTTGCAGAGAGTCCAAGAATCCTTATCATACTTTGTGTGGATTCAACCTATATGGATTATTTTAATTAATGTATGAGGTAAATTCAACACATCTGGATTTTTATTAAGTTTACAATAAATTTTAGTAATATAAAGTATGAAACATTCACAATAAAACAAGATCCCCAAGGAATACAGAATTATAACACATAACCTAAAAGACAGATCATACGAAGGAAGACTGGCCTAAAGGTCACATCTCAGATGATATAAAATAATTAAAAACATAAGTTTAGTAGATATTCTGAACTGGAAAAATTTTATTAATGTTTTCTTCTTGTTTCTTAAAAATGCATGAAGGTCACAAAAAAACACAGTATATTCCACAAGTAAAAGTAATATAAGCCACATTCTCTGATGACAATATTATATATCTAGAAATATAAAACAAAGTGAATGGCCAAAATATTCCATTCACTTGACAATTAAAATATGTTATGACCCCGAGATGTCACTAGCAACAACTTGGTAGCTCTCTTCTGCAAAAGCTGTGGATAAGTTTGCTCAGTCAAGAAGATTCAGTGGGTGTAAGCAAAGTAGGTCAATGTGAGTGACATGAATACTTTCAGAATCATCCATCCATCAATACTGGCTTAGGATTTAACCTTTAGTCAAAGGGGATACGCTGAGTAGGACAGATTCACACGTACAGATAGATATGGATGAAAATCAAAGCACAAATACATATATTACTTTTTACTATGAATTTGCTTTCACTAAGGAAATCTTACAGGTATCAGTAAAAACCCAAACCCAAACCAATCAAAAAGTAAGAAACTCTAAATAAGAAGAGATGATCACACCCATTATTTAAGAAATCTCCCTTACATGCTGTGATAAAAACACAGTATAGGAATTAGAATGGTCATTTTTAATTATACAACAGTCCTAAGTAGCACTGATGGTGATTTGAAAGGAAATAAAATTGATTTTTGGTTTTAAAATCATTATTTACAGCACAAGAGTTATTAATTTTAAGTACTTTTAAAACACATGGTACCCTACAAACACCAAAGATACTTTTCTACTAAAAATCCATTTTTTAAAAGAACTGTATTTTTTAAACCTAAAAACATTAATTATTCTTAATACAGATAAGCCCATGTGAGAAACACTTCCTTTTAAATAGGGATAACTTGTAACTTTATATCCTAAGCCAAATCTCAGAGCTCTATACACTATACATATTCACCTAAAAATTATTGTTAAAAACTATAAAAGTTAGTATTTTTTAGCTACCTCTCTTTCATTAGCCCCCAAACTAGGCATAGTTTTTATTACATTTTCCCTCACATACAAATCTAAGTTCAAATAGTCTCCCTATTCACTGAAAACAGTTAAGAGGACAGTATTAGTTCAATGTTGTTAAATGCAACATATTTGGCCTTTCTTACACTTTTCTCTTTTCCAAATTTCTCTCAATTATTCCAAATATGTTGTGAATTTATTCCTTATTACCACCATGCAACTCAGAACCAGAAGAGAATCTTACACTGCATTAGAATAGCTCCCTGTGGAGCCCATTAGTTACCAATGTTGCAGTGCTGTGTAAAACACTGCCATCTACTGGGTCAATCTGGTCATCACAAGGAACAAATAAAAATAGGTACTTTGCCATTTAATAACAATAGTTGCGAGTACTGCACTAGTACATTGGAAATATGACAAGAATCACACCCTTCTGTCAAGAAAATCAGATCTAGGGAATACAGATGAATATAGAATTAATTATAGCAAGGTGTGAAATTATAAGTAACACTGTTAAATGCTAAAAATGTGCAAAGAAAGGGAAGTATAAAGGGACCCCAAAAAAGGTGAACTGGGAAACACTTCATAGAAGCAATATTTGGCAGTGTCAAAAGAATAGTGGGTTTTCAGTGGATGGATGGGTAGAATGATGGAGATATAAATTTTCATTTTTAACTATTAACCTCATAACTGAAAATATACTCCAACTTTAGTACAAGTTTCATCTTTGAAAAAAGGTCAATGGTACTGGAAAGGAAGTGGAGATTACAATATAGATTTAGAACAGAAGTTTTCCAGTACTTATTTTAGTTAAAGAGACTTCAATAAAATAAGACTTGGAAGACAGAGTTACTTTTAACATGAAAATGAAATAGCTCAAGTTTTCAGCCTAGTAAAATTAACTTTGTCCCCATGAACAATACCTATTACCATTTCTCTGAATGCTACATTTCAGATTAAAAAGTACTCATCCCTCCAAAATGAGCTTTTAAGGAACTCCGTCTGACCTGCCGTAAAGTACGTGCCACTATGCTTTCTAATACTGGTCCTCTGTCTTCATGCAGCAAGTGAACTTCATCGAGAATAAGGAGCTTTACAATTTGGGAAACAGCTACATCCCCAACACTCTTTCTTGTCACTACATCCCATTTTTCTGGTGTGGTCACAAGCATCTGTAAGACAAGAAAATACATGAAAAAGGTAAAAAAGTCACATAGATTACTTACATTTCAACTGTGTCATTCAAAAAGAAATACAATTGGCCACCTATACACAGATCAAATAAAAAGTGTTAGAATGTCCCAGAATGATATCTAATTCACTGTAGGCAATGGTCACTTCAGCTGGACCACTCTCTGCATTCTGATATTAAACAGTTATTTAAAACTCAATGAGGTACTTGGTCTTTACATTGCAGGGTGAAGTGTTCGAAATAGACAAGTTTTTTTAAAAAGCATCTTACAATGTAAAAAACAAATGACACTACCTTTTAAACCTGCATATACTGACAATGGTCTTTATTTGAAGAGGGACAAAGAAGTGAACAAAGCATTAAATGGAAATGAGAAAGGAACCAAGAATTCACTCTCAGAATGGTCACCTGTTTGTACCTACCCAAACTTGGAGGAAATTTACTACTGATACCCAGTTTTTAAAAAATGCCATTGAATCTCAATTATATACACAGTACTTTCTACTAAAAATGAACATAAATAGTACAGCATAATGAGCAGACAACAGGAAGCCAGACTGTGAGTCCTTAGTAATCCAGGGCATACAACCAAGCAGGAGGTAGGCCTAGGGTACTCAGCAAAACGTCAGCAGACCATTTGACAAGAGCCTTTGATTAAATATGTGTTTGCTGTTTTACATGTTGAATTGTCTGTGTCCTCTAAAAAGCATACTGTAGCAGAAAAAAAGATAACAAGTTTAGTAATGTCTTCTACTATAACATTACATTAGGAAAGAATCCTGTAAGTGGATAATTCAAAGAACACATAAGGTGACAAACTGAAACCAAAGCTCTTCTTAGCCAGTGTACCAGGAATCACAACACAAGTGTGCTTTGAAGAGGTTAAATGAACTGGGGGTCAGACTGCGGTGTCAGCACTCTTGTTATGTTATTTCACATATGTTTTGAAGTCACCTACAGGGATGACAATAATCTTTTTTTTTAGATTGCAAATGCTAAATAAATTCTTAACAAATGCACAATCCAAATTTGTTAACAAATTTGTTATATTATTAGAGAAATCACTGCTATCATTCTGAAATGAACTATACTGACCACAAAATTTAACTGATGTACTTCAGTACAACATTAATTGGTAAACTGTAATGAAACAGATTAAGGAATTCATGTCTAAGGTGTGAAATACTATAAATCCAAAGCTACCTACTTAACTTGCTAAAGTTAAAGGGCAATGTTGAGAGCATATTAAATTTTATGGAAAAAAATATGCTACTAGAACTAAGTATAAATGGATGTATAACGAATTTTGAGATCTAAAATGGGTTGAAAAATTCACTGTGAATTAATTAATATCTTTTAATTATAATAAATTAGTCTACTTTGAAAAATGACAAATTTAAAATGACCCAAAATATATTAACAAGTGCATATATTATAAATACACCCAGAGATCACTTACTAACAACCCTTTTCATGAAGAACATGCTTATCTCTTTTTAAAAACAATTCTCTTAAAATGTAAATTTATGTCATATTAAATTATAAAATGCCAAGTTTATTAGTAGTAAATATTAGGGAAGCTACAAAGTACACCATTAAATTATAATTAACAAATACAAAGCTTGGCTACCTACTTTACCATGAACATAGACTACTGTGCCAATACTTTCTTATAGTTAACTTACCAAGATACTAATGTGGTGACAATTAAATTTTAAAATCAGATTTTTCAGATATCAAAAAAGTATACTGCCTAATCTTAAAAATTCATTTTGGTATTTTGTTTTCTATACTTTACTTTCAGTGTAGTGACAAGTGGCTTCATTTATTTCAATATTTCATTACTTTGGTTCTCTGAACTGAAATGCCTAGGAAGTAACACATTTGCTTAATGAATTGGAACTTATGTAAGGCATCGCCACCTGCTCTTGTAGCAGGGCACGGGTTAACTGTCAATATTCTTACTGTCAAATTAAATTTCTCTCAACACATGTCCTTATGCCCTCAGGAGTATACCAAGTCATTCCAAATGGTTCCAATTTCAGCATGTCCACTGGGAAAGTGACACAGTCGAGATGATATATGCCAGCACTGTGCCGAAGATTTGGTGCATTCAGTTTTAAAATGTTCATCCATTTGATGGCATAACCAAATGACTTGACAGGACCTAAGACTAATCAAAACCAGTTCACCTGGTCATTCACTTAAACATTAATAATAACAATATTATCTTCTGCCTTTGAAACTTTGTGACTTAGAGGAAGTCATTCTATCTCCTTTTCCCTCTCCCAGCTTTGTTATGTTTGACATTTAACACGTAAATTTAAGTGTACAATGTTATTTGATAAAAATACATATATTGCAAAATGCTTACCTCAATCACATTAGTGAAAGCCTGCGACCCCTCACATAACTGCATGGTTGTGCGTGTATGCACACAGGCATATGTGTGTGCGGTGATGACATTTAAGGTACACTTTCTTAACAACTCACAAGTCTATAGTATTGTCAACTACAGTCACCACATGGTACATTAGTCTCCAGAACACATTTATCTTGCAGCTGGAGGCTTGCACACTTTGACCAGCATGTGTCCATTTCCCTCACCCCCCAGGTCCTGGCAGCCACCATTATACTGTTTCCTTGAGTTTGGCAATTTTATATTACATACGTTCAGTGAAACACATAGCATTTCTCTTTCTCTGACTTATTTCACCCTCAGTATAATGTCCTCAAGGTCCATCATGTTGTGGAAAAATGCTAGATTTCCTTTTTTATAGCTGAACAATGCTCAATTATATCACATTTTCTTTATCCATTCTCCCATGGATAAATAGGTGGTTTCCATGTCTTAGCTATTGAGAATAATGCTGCAAAGAGCACAGGAGTGCAGATACCCTTTCAAGATGGAGATTTCATCTGGATATATATCCAGAAATGGGACTGCTGTATCATATAGTAGTTCTCTTTTTAATTTTTTGAGAAACCCCTATACTGTTATCCATAGTGGCAGCAACATTCCCACCAATAGCTCAAAAGGGTTCCCTTTTGTCCACATCCTTGATAACATTTGTTATCTCCTGTCTTTTTGACAACGGTTATTCTAACAGATGTGTGACATCTTATTGTGATTATAATTTGCATTTCCCTGAAGATTAATGATGCTGAGCATCTTTCCATATATTTGGTGGCCACTGTATGACTTCTTTAGAAAAAATGTCTATTTAAGCCCTTGCCCATTTTTTAATTTTTGCCATTATGTTCTATAAGCTTCTTACATATTTTGGACATTTACCCCTTATCAGAGAGTTTGACAACATTTTTTCCCATTCTGTAGCTTGTCTTTTCATTTCACTGATTGTTTCTTTTGCTCTATAGAAGCTTTTTCATTTACTTTTTGTCCTGTTTATTCTTTTTGTTCCATGTGCTTCTGGTATCATATCCAAAAAATAATTCCCAAGACCAATGTCAAGGAACATTTCCCCCAATATTACCTTCAAGTAGTTTTACAGCTTTGGGTCTTAGAATATGTCTTTATCCATTCTGAGGTGCATTTGGTGAGTGGTGTAAGATAGGGGGCCATTTACATTCTTCTGTCTATGGTTGGTGACTACATTAGTATATTCACTTTGGAAAAAATGTATCAAGCTGTTCATTTACAGTTTTGCACTATTGTGTGTGTACATTTTATTTTAATTACAGTAAGATGTGTATGTATATGCTATCATAAGGGTATGTAACTTATAATTAAAAACAAAACTTAAATGACAAGAGGAGATACCAGAACTGAACAGGAATAAGAGTTTGCCAGACGAAGAAAAAGAGAATATTCCAGGCTGTGAAAAAAATAAGCAAATATGTTTTCTGTCCTTCTGGCATTCACTGATCACATATCACCTCCTGTATGATCATGCGTATAAGCATGTCTTTATGTGTGTACTGCAAACACCTTGACAAAGGGACCAAATATGGAATTTTGCATGTAAGTCCAAATTCTTCTACCTATTAATTGGAGATACTTTAGTATTTTTTAAAGTACAGGTGACAGCTTCTAAATTTAGACCAATTTCCTGTCCACTTAACAATCTTCTCCTCAATCAGAGACCTCAATAAGCACCAAAAGCAAAAAGATAAAGAAGTTCAATATACTTATGGGGACTCTTTGACCCAAAAAGAGAAATCAGACACATAATTTAGACTGCACAATCCCCATATTTCCTTAATGTTATTCTTGTTGCTCCTTATTTTAAAACAAAATATATCCTTGTCTTTTCATATTTTTCATACCCAGCCCAGTCCATAAAATCTTCTAATTTCAATAAATTAAATTGTTATACAGAAAAGCACGATCCTAAAATGACTATTGACAATATATACCTAGCCTCAGAAACAGATAAATGCCTGTGACCTCTAAAAATCATCTCTTTTATGTTTAACACACCCAGTTATAGCTATTGTAAAGTTATGTAAGTCATATTCATATCATATTGAATTTCAACATTTTTTAAAAATAATTTATACTGTTGGTGTATTTTTTTTCCTTGAGGCAGATACCTATAAATTAAAACTAGATTTAAAATGTTAAATAAATTGTTAAATCCAAAGAATAAACAAAGTTTAAAAATAAAAGTATACTTGCTTGCCTTTATAATATTTAAAATTTATTTTGAAATTTTTGGTACTTAGATTGTAGGCAATTAGAAAAAAAATGTTTAAACTAAAAATATAAATAACTTTTTTATAAACCAGAATGGTAAAATACCAAAATATAGTCATTAAAATCCAAGAGTATATTAGTATATTTCATCAAATCTCAGGAACCACTGATTGTAAGTTACATTATTTTGTGTCCCTAAGAAATTAATGGAAAGTACTATCATTTTTAAACTGTGTATTGCAACTGATGAAATATAGTTCATTTTAGTTGAAAATGTTAGAATCCATTAGCTAAGCTAAAGAGCAGTATTCATGAATTCTTGC